TACCTGACAGTGCCAAAACTCCACTGACACAAACAAATCCCAACTGTGATGTCTTCCTCTGACACAAACAAATCCCAACTGTGATGTCTTCCTCTGACAAGACAGTTTTTAGGTAGGTTAGATTCATTATGTTGTCTTGCCTATTTCAGTAGGGTCATCCCATTGATAATAAAGCTTGTACTTCATCATTCCTGTGTTAAGGTGAACGGAGGTGTGTTTAAAAGGCAGAGGACAGTACAGTGAGCAGGGAGGTGAAAGCTGGAAGCAAGCTACAAAGGAGCCTGTCAGGCACCGACTCTATTGCATAGTTAATGTCCAAAATCCCTCAGGATAAATTTGAAAAAAAAGTGTGATGCTGAGGAAAGCAAGCTTGGAAACAGCAATATAAAGGAAGATCAGGACCTCACACCAAAAAAGCTGAAAAACCTTGAAGACTAGAAGAGAAATGCAATTCCAAATACAGATAGTGTGTGTGTGTATGAGAATTAACAAATACTACTTCTACAAAGGGCAGCTTATCACTGGGAAAACACCAAAGGAAGAGAGACTTGGACACATCAAGTCAGCCACAGTGTGAAACAGCCATCAGAGGCAGACTGGAAGCCTAAAATTCATCAAGAAAGTACTTTCAGAGACACAAAGAAGCAGTACCCTCCTTGCATGGTGAGACCTCACCTGTAGTGCTCTATGTCACTTCTGCATTAAGTTCAAGGAAATGGAGCTGCTGCAGAGAATGGGTGCACAGGAGTGGCTTACGAGACAGGACAACATCAGGAAAGGAGAGTTAAGTAACAACTCACTAAGCTAAGGTAAACAAAGGCTGGAAGGAAATAGAATTCCTTCACGATGTATTTACAGACAGCAAGCACCATGGAAGGAAAGTAAATACATTAAGGATAAAGGATTACACTAGTACAAAAACAGGAGGAAAAAAAAGGCAGCAAAAAGCTGCATGGGCCATGATTCTACTTGGCTTGTGTAAAAAAACCCCAGGTGTTAAAGCTGCAAAGCTTCAGGACAGCTTTTCAAGCAAAACAGGGAGTAAAAGACAATAGAGACTGCACATGTTGGTCAGGGCAGTTCACCCCACCAAAACCAATCAGAAATAAACACACGTACGTAACTAGGAATGACCTCAGTTAGTACTGTAGCAGTGACAGCGAGAAACCAGTCTTTCCCAGAGCAGAAAACAGGCTTTGCTACACAGTGTCTCTCCCTGCTTCAGAGCAAGCAGAACTGGAAGCCCCGATGCACCAGCCCAACACAAATGCAGGCTGCCAGCTCCCAGCAGCGTGGCTGTAAATGATCTGATACCAAGATGAAGCTCTGGCAGCTGTGTGGGCATGTGGGCATATGGACAGCTCTTCGGGCACGGTGCACTGCTCGTGGGAAAACACAACCTCTCACGAGGCCGCAAAACAGTCCTCCTTCCTATCCAACATTTCCTCCAGCAAGATTCATCACACAAAAATTAGTGCGAGGCTTTCATATTTGCTGTTGCCTGTTGTGATCCAAGACAGTCATTCCTTGTATAGCAACTTTTTTTTCACTCATTAAAGGAATGGCACTCTGAGGGCATTTCACCCCTTTCTGTTTAATCATGAAGCAGGAAAAGAAGGGAGACTCTGGTTGTAGCCTGTTTATTCAAAACCCTCTGTGCCAAGGGCCCAGCAAAGGAACCATCTTTTTTGATTCCTTTTTTGTTGTTGCTGTTGTGAAGTTCAAAGCCTCCAGAAATAGACTGCAGTAATGGAAAGGTTGGCAGAATTAGCTAAGAATATTCCTAATGTTTACTTTATTAAAACAAAACAGCCAACACCACACAATGAAAATAGGCCACCTCATTCTATATATTTAGGCACTGGCCCAAAATTGGAGTGAAGGCAACATAAAAAATAGAGGCTTTGTCAAGAAGCAATGTGGTGTAACCTTCAGCCACAGAGCAGCTCTGTCCCTATCACAATGGCTTTGGCCAAGCTCATAATCATCAGCTCCCCCAGCCGTGTCTGCAGCATTGCGCTGTGGAGCAGACGCCAGTTTTACAGCCTTCAGCTTCTTCAAGGCAAGGACAGTATGTATATACCTAATGACTGCACGTGTCAGCATGTGTCCTGGTCAGAAACAGGGCTGTCAGCAGTCATATAGTAATTGCAGTCTGGCTGGCAATCCTGTGTTGTTTCAGAGCAAGACCGCACGTGAGGCTTCCCAGGCAGGAGGCTCGCTCCCAGCACCATCCAGGCCCATCACCTGGGTGTGCTCCAAGGCCCAGCATTCAAAAGGACAGAGACCACCCACCACAAAAGACATACCACAGGGCTCTATCAGCACACAGCTGCAGTAAAGTATTACACATCCCGCTTCTACTGCTATTTTGATCTCTCATCCTCAATCATCCCCTTCCTTTGATGACCACAACCTCTCTGATGCAAGGTCAGATACATATTTGAAACAACATACAATAAATCAAGCCCTGGCTGCTGA